CAGCTCCCACATACCACATACCCCAGCGCCCACATTGCTGTTCATTTTACCTTAATTTTTTAACACTGGAGTTTACTCCTGGCTGTTGCACAAATGCTTTCCACACCCTGGTACTGGTACTCTGTGAGAGAACTATCAACATCAGAGGTCCGAGACTGTTCAACACGCTTCCACTACACATAAGGGGCATAACTGGCCGACCCCTCACAGTGTTCAAGAGAGAACTGGATAAGCACCTCCAAAGGATACCTGATCAACCAGGCTGTGACTCGTACGTCAGGCTGCGAGCAGCCGCGTCCAACAGCCTGGTTGATCAGTCCGGCAACCAGGAGGCCTGGTCGACGACCGGGCCGCGGGGACGCTAAGCCCCGGAAGCACCTCAAGGTAACCTCAAGGCAAGGTAACCCTTTGCTGACCCGACACCACACTGAGAGTCACGTCGGGTGTTCTGAAAATATGTCCTCGACGCTTTAGCTGATTGACAGGCTCGATTCGTGTGGGTGTACTCTATATGTTTGTACATTCCCCTCTGTCACGAGGGAAGATAAAGGGGAGAATTTCGCGGAGCTCCACCGGTGACACTCCATCACTGCTCTCTTCACTGTGGGCTCTGTGGGGCGCTTAGCCCCCCATGTACACTAGCCCCAAAACACGGGGACCTCGCAGCACCTTTGGGGACTCACTAGGCTACTGTCTGCCCCCAGAGGGCAACAGGTGTCAAGAAGTGGCAGGTGTCTATCTCTGACACACCTGGTTATCCAACTACTGCGGTCATCGGGGTTCTTACCTGTGCTCAGCGCTGAAGAAATGATTTCAATTTCTCTGCACTAGTGCTCTTGAAACATGAGGCTATGTTCCCCGATTTTATTTAATCTTTGTTCTTGTACTCAAGTGGTCAGTACCTTACTGTCAGTCTTTCACATATATATGATGTGACATAATTTAATGAAGGTACATATAAACACAGCATTTAAAACTAAAAAGGAATATTTACTAACGAAAGAACTACATAAATAATTAATTTTCTGGATATCCTCAGTCAAGTCTGCAATCAACGGCCGCTCTCAACCGTCATTAATAATAACGTTAATCTGTTAATCTCTCTCTCTCTCTCTCTCTCTCTCTCTCTCTCTCTCTCTCTCTCTCTCTCTCTCTCTCTCTCTCTCTCTCTCTCTCTCTCTCTCTTTAGCTCTGGCAACGTTGCTCCAGCACCACAAGATCAGCCACATATAAACATCTGCGAATTAAACCCAGTAACATATTATGTGTCAGTTAACATTGGGTGTCAACTCTATTACCTTGACTGAAGAGCTGTCAAACTCGGGGTGAAACAATAACTTTGTCAAGTTTTGGCTGACAAACCAAATCCCTCCTGGCTTATAAGATTGGGTCGGTCGGGTATAACTGGGACCTCTTGTTATGGATGAAGGATTTATGTTTCTAGGGATTGGTAGATGATTGGGGGTGTTTGGGTCCTCGTTGGGATTAGGATTATGATACGGAGGAATGATTTGAGCGTCTGAAGGCCTCCGAGGGCTTTCAACCTCATGGGATTTGTCGATGATTAGGAAAATCTTGAGACACTTGAAGGATTTGAACCTCTGGGGGGGGGGATTGGTGAAGAGTTTGTGTGTTTATAGGGTAATTGAGCTTGTAATCGCCTCATCTTCTGGTGATCAAAAGCTTTACAGGCAGTCCTATATCTCCTGAATTCCCGCCTGGCCTGCTGGAACTGCCCATCCGGCCTGCTGGAACTGCCCATCCGGCCTGCTGGAACTGCCCATCCGGCCTGCTGGAAGTACCCATCTAATCTGCTGAGGCTGCCAATTGGACTGCTGGAACTGGTCATTTGGTTTGCACTTGTTCCTATCAAGTCTGCCGAGTTTCTGCCAGATATGGTCTGCTGGATTTCAGTCTGGTCTACGGGCTTCCTGCTTCTGCTTGGTTTAGAAGCCTTTCCATGGATTTCTTTTATAAAGTGGTAGGCCTAAGTTTAACAATCTTCTGTGCAAGATAAGGCAATTATGAGGAAAAAGCAATAGAACTTGATATGGATATGAGGACAAAGAGCTGGGATATGAGGACAAAGAGCTGGGATATGAGGACAAGGAGCTGGGATATGAGGACAAGGACCTGGGATATGAGGACAAGAACCTGGGATATGAGGACAAAGACCTGGGATATGAGAACAAGAACCTGGGATTCGAGGACAAGAACCTGGGATAAGAGGACAAGGAGCTGAAATATGAGGGGCTACCTCAACTGACAAACAACTGGAATATGTCGGAGGGAAGGAATGTTGCTCAACCACTTGGACCACTGGGGATCGAACGCCGGCCCTGCAAGCATCGACGAGACCAATTAGGTGGATCCCTGAGTGCAGGTTCTCTCCCAGTGAAGAGATAAAGTGGTTCTCGGGGTCGCCAGGTTCACTGAACCCCCACCAGATGGACGTCTTAGGTGTGACCAACAGCAATCTCTGGTTTCTGTTGACACTGTTGAGTTAAGTGATGATTTATCGAGGACTTGAGAGATGGAAACAAACAATGGTTGAGTGTGTGGTGGATGAGTAAATGGGTGATGGGTAAGTAGGTGGAGGATGAGTGGATAGGTCGGTGAATGAGAGGGATAGTACGTAGTTGGTGAGTAATTAAATAATGACCACTCAAACACCCAGAATAAGCTGTCAGGAACCCGGAGCCGACCCACCATAGGGGCCTGACAGCTGAGTGGACTGCGCTTCGCATTCGTAGGCCTGGGATTCGATCCCCGGTGGAGTTTCTTTCACCCTGATACCCCCTGTTCATCTAGCAGTAAATAGGTACTTGGGAGTTAGACAGCTGCTACGGGCTGCTTCCTGGGGGGTGTGTAACAAAAAGGAGGCCTGGTTGAGGACCGGGCCGCGGGGACGCTAAGCCCCGCAATCCTCTCAAGATAACCTCAAGTACCAGGTACCAGGAGCCCCACCAATACCCAGTACCAGGGGCGACAAGTTCCTGTCCCTCACTGCCGTTAAAGACACAAAACATAAAGAAAG